AGTGTATTTGCTTGTTTTTGAGATAGGGGCTTGAGACACACACACACACACACACACACACACACACACACACACACACACACACACAGGGTCCAGGCTGGCTTCATACTGGAAATTCTTCTGTATCAGCCTGGTGGGGGTGTGCTGAGATTATGGGCACACATCATAACACCTGCCTTCACAAAGTAATTTAAAAGAATTCCTGAGTTAATTTTGAATCACCTATTGATTATCTGGAATCTACAGAGGCTTTTCTACTAGATAAAATTCTTTCCATTAAATTCTAATAAAGAAAAAAGAAACAAAAACAAAAATAAATCTAACTTTAGGTGACTAAGCTGGAACCAGACAAAATAAAACAAGCCTAAACAATGTTATCAATACTCCCAGGAATTTAAATAAACTATATAAAATGAATCTAATCTGTAACTACATTGGCAAGCATGTGCTGACAAAGCCAGAAAAGTGACATGGTAGCAATTCAGTTCTTGCAAACAGAGTTCTGACTTATGATTTATGCCATACTGGAAGTCCGTTCTCTTCAATCAAAGGCTGACAGGCTTGCTATTTCCTTATTAAAACCTCAAGGTAAGGTCTGTCTCAAAGTGTATGTTTGCAGATCTTGAATGTTCTCCGCAAAGGTGGTGTGGAGTCTCTACCTTTCTCCCTGATGTTTTAAAAGCTGGCTGAATGCTTCCAGTCTCTGATAAGACAGTGCTTTGTGTCAGCAAAGCCTCGGTTTCGAAACTTCACATCTGTGGGGCAAAGTTTCTTTTTATCTGTAGCCAGAGTGCATCCTATGGGCATCCTATCAGCACAGCTCCTAAGATCTGTGTGATTACTAATGAAAACTTCTAGGAGGGAGGTGGTGGCCCACGTCTTTAATCCTGGCAGAGGCAGAGGCAGAGAGGCTGGGGATCTCTATGCATTCAAGACCAGCATGGTCTACAGAGTGAGTGCCAGGATAGGCAGGGCTACACAGAGAAACCCTATCTCAAAAAACCAACCCCCCCCAAAAAAAATCCTCGGTTATGGCACTAATGCTTTGCTCTGTTATAGGTTTCTTCTTGTTCTCATTGTTGTTTTTTAATGTGAAGTTAAGAACTCATCTTTTATAAAGGAATGGGTGGAAGGCAGGCAGACTGATCGGTCAACTGGCTTCAATAAAAGCACACATTTAAAGGTGCCTGGTTTGAACCTCAGTGCCAAGGGCCATGCCAAAGGATCTTTGCCACACTTCCAGACATCCTGACACATGCTTCATACCCACCAAGTTTGAATTGAATGTCTAGAATTAAGTATTTGCAGAAAGTTGGAATGAGCTAGACCCCCTTGAGTCACCCTTGAATTATGTACAGTGTAGAAAGAGAAAATGGTAACAGACAGCCAGGGCCCCTCAGTGTGTGCCCTAGGTCCTATTACCTTTAAATCTTGTTTTTGCTTTGTTTTTAATCAGAGTAACCCCCAGAATCTCACATAAATGACTCCAGGGACTCTAGATCTAGAAGCCCCTGTTTCTGAGAGAGAGAGAAGGGCCAGAAAACAGAATGTGCCATCTGAACTCATATCCCCATAATCTGGGCCTTCGACACCCTCATCTGAAGTTTCCAGAAGGCTAGAGAGAAACCTCAGCTGCACTTGCAGGACTGGAGTTCATTCTCAACGCCCACACTAGGCAACCCTGTAACCCCAGCTCCAGGGACCCTACACACTCCTCTGGCCTCTGGAAGCACTTCCACAACTTAGGTTTACACATACACATACACACATAAAAAGAAAGTAAACCTCTTTTTTAAAGTTTCCACTCAAAAGCGCTCACCACTAGATAATCAAACAGAACATCGTTACACGCTTCTTAAAACCATACACAACCATCTCAAACAGGTTAAAATTTGCTATGTGTACAAGTTCATTTTTCACTAAAAACAAGCAAAAACACTCAATACCTACCCTACCCCACTCCAAAAAAAAAAAGACCAAAGAAACAAAATTCCAGTGGCCCTTTAAAGTAGTAAACACCACGGAGGCAAAGGCATTTTAGTGCCCCATATAGCCTACAGGTGCTAGGCCATCATTTTGGATTTTTAAATACTTTTTCACATTTTTATTTATGAATTTCTGCATGTGTGTGTTTGTGTGAGAGTGTATGAGAGCCTGCTCCCACCACGGACAACTTAGAGAAGCCAATTCTCTCCTTCTACCATGTAGGCTCTGGTATCAAATTCGGGTCATCAGCCCGTTACAAGCCCCTTTACTCACTGAGCCATCTTGCTGGCCCCTTGTTTCGCTTTTGATCATATACATTATTGACAGTAGAACTTTGGAATCAATCGATCCAATCTATTTTTACTAAGATAAGATGTTTCTGTATTATAATGGCACACTCTCTGCCTGGCCTCTTAATGCCCCAGACACTCTTGAATAGGAGAGTAAAAACAATACACGGCTCCCACTATGAGAAAGAAGGAAGACAGCACCATCCTTGCTCATTGCCATTTGGTTCTGTTCCCATCTCAGGGAACAGGAAGTGTGAATGGGCCTAAATTTAAGCTACCGTAGACAGATTCATGATAGTTACTTCCAAGCAAATCCCAAGTCTGATCTTTAAGATGCAAATAAGCTATCACACCCTGCCTGCACATCCAATTACATACTAGTCAATGTGCAACAGAAGGCATATGGGAAAACGAGGCAGTGGTAAAAATCCTTAGGTCTGGGAGCCAGGGTTGGTTGAATGAACATGCCATTTCAAACCTACGTGTATGAGTGAATGGGTGTGAGTGTGAACATGTGTGGGCATGTGTTAGTGTTGTGAGAGCAATGTGAAGGTGAGGATGAGTACCAGTGAACATGTGTGAGGGAAAGTGGGCGAGCTTGAACGTGCCCAGATGCACTGTACACACAGGAGCAAGTCCAAAATGCACAGGCAGGGCCACATTAGCTTCATTTGCCAAACATCGAAAGGACGGCCCACAGGCCTCCCAGGTCAATCAAGATGTCTGGCCTCCTGCAGACAAAATAGCAGTCTTGGGTAATGAGTGATTCTTGACCCAATGAGCAGATGGTTTGGTGTTCCAGATAAGCTCTAGCATCACAATTAGTCTAAGAGGGGAGCTGGGCTCATACAGCAAGCTCTCAACCAGAGCGCAAAAGTCCCTAGGATCCCATAATTTCCAGTTGGTTACCCACACTCTTCTGACCCCAACACATGCATTCATAGTCTCTCTCCTCTCTCTCTCTCTCTCTCTCTCTCTGTCTGTCTCTCTTTCTCTCTCCAAAGAGCAAAGCCAGTAGGGTGATGGGAGATGTCATTTCTTTTTCCCTGACTCCCCTCTGGGTATCTAAACAAAAAACAAAAAAACAAAAAAACAAAAAAACAAAAACCTGTCCAAAGATGGGAGGGGGAAGGGAGACGGGACAGCAACTCACTTCTACCTCTGGGCCTCTTACCTAACTTGAAAACACCAGCTACCTTCCTGCTTACACATCTGGTTTTACTCTGACAACTGAAGAAGAAAAAAGAAGTTGTTGTTGCTTACCCGTTATAATTTATATCTCCTTTCACTCCTTCCCAGACAAGGCTTCCTTTTCAAACATGGCTGTATGGACCTTTTTGATAAGCGGTAGGTAAGAACTGCTCAGCCACCACAAGACAGAGCAAATGGAAACTGGATAACAAATCAACACTATTTGGGTGTGCCAGCTGTGCTTCAAAATTTTGAAGCAAATGGGGGTGAGCAGAAGACCCTCTCTTACTAGGCCTCCAGCTACGGAGCAGAGGGCAGAGGAATTGGGCTTCGCCTTCTGAGAGAAGCGTCTTCCATCTTGCCTGTGGCCACTGTGTGTTCCAGGCAGATTGCACACCCCTTCTCTAAGGGGGTATGTTGGTGCCTGGGAGCAGGTGCAAGATGTCTGGGAGCCCTGTCCTGGCCACAAAATGCCAGGCTGATTAGGAGTTGACTTTGCATACAAATTTGCCTCTAGATCACCAGCAGAAGGGTTTCAGGGAAAGCAATTGCTGATCTTCAAAACTAGACTGTGATTTCTGAAGTAGAAGCTGAAAAAGATCATGTTTTAGAATCCACAATTTCTTTGTAAAGCTTGTTGAGCAGACTGGCAACACACCCACTAAGGATGGAGAAAGTTATCAGGTGGAATCTCACATTCAAGATGAAACCAGAAGGTTACCCACTAAAATACTGTGCAGCTTTCCCCCACATGGTAGCCTACAACCTCTTGCATGACAGGTTAGGAAATTCCCCCATCCTTCCTGGAGAGGCAAGAGAAAGGCCATCCCATTTTAGAAGAGCTAGCTTCAATACTTCCATCTTTTAAAAGAGGCTGCCTTCAGCTGGGATTAATTGCGTGGTAGGAATGAACATCTGTCACTGCCATAGACAGGCCAAGAGTCAGTGTAATGAACCCAAGCACACATGTGCAAATGTGCCTGGAATGAACCTGTCGCAACTTACACCCCTGAGACAACTCAATCCAAATAGCATTCTGCTATGAAAGAAAATGTCCAGTTGGCTCAAAAGATAGTTTACATTTCAATCCACACGTCATGCTACACATTAGTTACGTGGACTATGCTGATATCGTTGCCAAGTCCTGCCTAACTTACTGAGTGAGGCTTAGTAGTTGTTCCTGCCATAGATCAACCACACAATCACATCTCCAGAGGTCAGGATCCCATCACAGAATCACCTCACTCAACATTTCAGCCTGGTAATAAAGGCTGACTGAGGCCAACAGAACTCCTTGTCAACCTGAATGAATCACAGCATTAAGTGTAAAAGCCACATGCAGCAACTCTGTTCCCTATCTTTGGAAATCAGGAAGGCTTGTTACTGTTGACATTCATGAATGTTATGTTCCTTCAAAGCCATTTTTAAAGATGTGTATGTTAGGAATGACTCCAATTCAACATCCAAGGCCTGCTGAAAACATGAATTCTAAGTAAATGCACAGTAAACACAGTAAACACAGTAAACACTCACCACTCTGGGCTTCTGCTGGTCAAGGGTATGCAAAAAGGCTGAGTTGGGGTCCAGCGTCCGCTCAGGGTCACTGGAGATGTCCTCCTCTGAGTCCTCATAGGAAGAGGAGAAGCCAGTGGAAGACGCTGAGGAGGATGACAGCTTCCTCAGAGGCAGGGGACCCCGAGGGCTTCCTTGGACCTCATCTAAGCCCCCATCCTCCTGAGCACCCATGTCTGTGATGATGACAGCAGGGATGGCAGGGACGCTGCTAGGGCTGCAGGCCTCTTTGAAGGAGGCCTCGTCCTTCTGATCTGGGAGCATCTCTTGGCAGTCTCGCTGAGCATCTCTGTCATGTAGCTGGCTTCCCCAAGTTTCCACCAGTTGTACCCCTGTGTCACACGTCCACATCAAGGGGCCTTCCTTCACGGCATTTTGCCAAACCCTGGAACTCTCGGGCTGCACACCCATCATCCTGTCCCCAGGGAGGCACTGGGCTTCTTTCAAACCTGTTGCCACTTCCTCAGGGGGTAAAGGTCCCAGCAGAGTTTCTGCCTCCACATCCCTGGTCCCTGTGTGTGCTGCTTGGCTACCCCCAAGCAAGCCTAATGCTGGAGACCCTTCCCTCACAATGTCCGGGGTCTGCTCGGGTCCTCGGATCCCTGGAATCCTACTTCCTGCCTCCTCTACAGAGCCCAGGTCTCTTGGCAGTCTAGACCATCTCCGGTCGTCAGAGGCCTCTGAGCTTTGGGCACTCACAGTCCTCTCATCAAGCCTTTTGATGACTTCAGGTGTCCAGGAACCCTGCCCACCAACTGGATGAATTCCTCTCCCCACCCTCCCAGGAGGCTCTCTAATGTGGGTCCGCCCAAGCTCTGAGGCTGAGCCTGTCTCTCTGCCTAAAAACTGCTCCTGTCTCTCCATCTGAGCCTCCCAGGGGCGCATGCCCCCAAGCTCGCAGGCTGCCCCTGTGAAGGCAGAATCATGTCCAGGGTGTGGTCCAACGGATGAGGCTGATGCTGCCACTTTACTGACCATTGCTAATCTAGTTCCAAAGTGCTCCGGTAAGGGAGCAACCCTCTTGTCAATTTCCATGGCTGTGGGTGAGCCACTGCGGGGACTGGTCGGGGTGCCTGTCTCCATCCTCACTGAAGCTGATGGACTCTGAGTCCCTAACCTGGTCGGGCTGGCAGGGCGTAAAAGAGGGGCCACTCCCTCCTTGTCCTTCGAGGGGTGTGGGCTGAGCCTGCCCCTCCTCCCGGAGTTGGTGTCTGGGGTCTCTGTACTTTGATCTCCCCAAGACTTTGTCCTCCGTTCCTCACTTGGGGCGCACTGAGCCAAGACCCTTCCAGGGGGCTGGCTGCTGCTACGGAAGGGACATGGGGAGGGCGAACGAGCCCTGCCCAAACGCGGGCTTCGGGGCGCTTGGCTGGCAGAACTCTGTGCCTGGATTTGCGCCTCGAACATGCCCACTTTCTGATTCACCTGCACATTTTGCAATTCGCGCTGCAGAATCCGCAGCTTCCTTTGGGCCTCCTCTGGCCCAGGTGGGGAGAGGGTGCGGGCCGCCACCACCTGCTGCGCGTCCCCTCGCAGGCGGCCAGCCCAACTCGGACTTCCCACGCCACTGCTGCTGCTGCTGCCGCCGCTGCTGCCACCACCGCTGCCGCTGCTACTATTCAGCCTACGCCGGCCGCTGCGCCAACCCCCAGGACTCGGGGGCTCCTCCAGCGACAGTGACTCCGCTGGGGGGAAGAGGAAGGAGGCGCCTCTCCCAGGGCTGAAGACGCTGCTGGGGCTCAGTGCGGCCCTCCCCGAGGGCTGAGGTGGCTCGCTGCCGCTGGGCCGGGGACCGCCACTCTTCAGCTCGTTGGTGCTGTTCATGATCACCAGGCTATTGAGGGCATAGCAGTACATAGCCATAGTACTCGGTCTGCCGCGCCGCCCGCCGCCGCGGCTCTGGGTCCCGCTCCACCGCCGGCGCCTCCTCCTCCCTTGGCTCCCGGCTTAGTCCTGGAGGCCCGGCGGCCACCGCTCCGCACGCCGTTGGAGCAGCATGGCCTAGGCGGCGAGCACGGAGCACAATCGCGGACTCGGCCCCCGCCCCAAGCTCCATAAACGATCTCGCGGCTGCCGAGACACAAGGAGAACGGTCAGAATTCCAGAAGGCATAGCGAGGAGGGTGCTGAGAGTCCACCCGCAGAAGCCAGAAAGAGTCCCGGGACCTCAATAGATTGGGGAGAGGGTGCCCTGTGCATGCCTGGCCTACAGGGGCTGTGATGCTCTGTGTGGAGGCATGCTGGGCTGCCTCGATGGCCTCTGCTCCTGTTTTCCGGTCGTGGTCCACCTCCCCCAGCTTGTGATATGCTCTAAGAACACCTAGAATCCCAAATTCTAAGATTAGTTTCGGTAGCCATGCGGATGGCCGAGGAAGGAGGTACAACTGCTGGGTCCCTAGGCGAGGCTGGTCAAGTTCCCTTGGCCAGAGCAAACACCGGTTGTCGAGGATGACAGGCAGCCCTGCTCCACCCTCTCAGAACATCAGAGACTAAGTCACAGGGAACCTGACCCGGACTTGCCTTCCCCAAACCGCTGCCTGAACCGAGACCTGGGCGGTTTTCTTTCCAGATCCTGGACTTGGGGCAGTCTCTCTCTCCGCCTGTGAAAGGCCTGGGAGAGTGCGGGGCGGGGCGGGGGCGGGGGGCGCAAGCAAAGCACTTTGCAGCACTAGCCTTGATGCCTGTCCCCCAAACAAGTGTGTTTTGTGAATGTGGGCACTCGTGCGCGCCTGGGACCAAAACTTGACAGTATCCATTACTGGAACCGGTAGTGGAGGCCCCCTACTGTCCCCTCACACCCTGCAGTGTGTGTGTGTGTGTGTGTGTGTGTGTGTGTGTGTGTGTGAGTGAGAGAGAGAGAGAGAGAGAGAGAGAGAGAGAGAGAGAGAGAGCTGCAGGAGTGGGGGTGGGAGGGCTGCGTACCCACAGCCACTTAGTCCTGCGCTCATCCTGTTAGCAAGGACCCAGGTGTCCCTGTATGCTCCGGGACCCGCAGCCATGCATCCATCGGAGGAACTCTGGGCTAGCTCCCACTGCTGCAGCCCGGAAGCCTTCTAAGTGTGCAGGCCTGAGAATTTGCAGCCCTCCGGAGGACGGCATGCTAAACCCGGCATGCTAAACCCGGAGCCAAGCAGGGCGGCGGAGGGCAGGGCCTCGCGCATCCCGGGCGGGCAGCCTCGCCTGGCGCCAACAGAGCCGCCCGGCTGTCCGAGCCCCAGACGCCCGCAGCGCGAGGGGGAGGCGGCTCGGCGCAGCGGCCCGGAAAGTGGTGGGAAAGCCGAATCGCCCCTCTATCCCCAGCGCCACTCCACGCCACCCTCCCAAATCAGCCTGCCCCTTTGCGCTGTGTTCGGACCCCGGAACACCCGAAAGAGCCCCAGCCCAGATGGAGCGGAAAGAGGGCTCAGAGACGAGCGCCAGGAAGGAGCCGCCACGCTTACCTGCAATTTGCTCAAACTCCCAGGTCCCGAGCAGGCGACATGCCCCGGGGAGTCGGTGCTTGGGCAGACCAGGTGGCTTAAAGTAGAAAACGCCCCCAAAGGATTTCCGCAACAACTTATGGAAGACGAAAAAGTTGGGGCACAAAGAGGGTAGATGTACCGGCTCAGGGGCCAGGAGATCCCGGGGGGGGGGGGGACAACGCCAAGCTGACCCTGAGCAGTTCCTGGCTTGGTAGGAGACACTACCGCTGTCAGCGTCTGCTCCCGGGTACTTCACTGTTTGTTCAATGTAAGATTAAAAAAAAAAAAAAAAAAAAAAAAAAAAAAAAGTTGGGGGTTGGGGGAGGAGGCAGAAAGGCGGGGGCTTGGGGGAGGAAGGCAGGAAGGAAGTTGTGAGCCTGTCTGGGTTGAACTCAGCGGAACAAGTTTTTCTTTTCTTCTTTTTTTTTTTTTCTATTGCTTGGCAAGACCGAGGGAGGGAAACACTTTTTTTAAAAAAAAGTTTCCATTGTTAGCTAACAAAAAAGAAAAAAAAAGAGGCTTTTAACTTCTGCGGGTTAAAGATATACAATTTATTTTCCACCCCTCGACCAAGGTTTGCTGGTGTCTAGTTTTATGAAGCTACTTTTGAAAACTGTTTTTAATAAAGCTTTGAGTGTTTGTGCTAAACAAAGCCGCTAGTGGGGGATCTTTTAGCATTTAAAACGGGGCTAAAATTCTGCATAAACAGCTTGCTTGTACACAACAGGCAAATTTTAAAAGATATATTGTAGGGCATTTCCTTGCACAGTTGCAGATTTTAAATGCATCAGGGTAGCATTTTGGAAGGCTGGTTGGGCTGGGAGCTGCTGAAGGGTGTGCAGTATCATTGCTAGATGTATGAAGAAGCTTGGTGTTGTGCACTCACATGTTTTTGCACTCAATCCTTATAGTTATTTTAAGAAAAAGCATAGTCCTGGAGCTCAGGCCTGATCAAGGTCTGAAGCCATTTGCCCAGTCTCCTGTGAATTTACTCTCCTGTGCTTTAAAGCATTCAACTTCACCCTCAAACACACACACACACACACACACACACACACACACACACACACACACACACACAATTTAAAAATGGGGGGGCCACCAGTCAACATTACAAAGCAGGGGAGGCCCATACACACTTAAGCCTGGGCACTGCCAGTGTGTTTTGCATAATTCCCTGAATCTTAACCCTAGCATTTAGTGGAAACGGGGAAACACAGCTGTCAGGCTTAGGAGGTTTAAGAATCCAAAGCTTGAATCCGCCCTTATATCCTGATTAGCCAAAATTCAGATGGAAACTCTGACTTTGCCTGTAGCAAACAGACGGCTTACTTGTTTATGTAACAATACGGCTGAAGTGAGCAAAGCAACCTGCTGCTTGGTCAGGAAAAGACTCTAGCAAATCTGAAACCAAGAGCTCTTCCAGCCAAGAATTCCTGGAATCAGACACATCCTTTCTGAATTAAAAAAAAAAAATGCAAAACACACACACAAAAACATGCCATGAAAGGGTTGAACCTCCCACCCTCCATGGGGCTGAATAAAAAGAGCCCAGTGTTTGTTCAAGTGCTAACTCAGGCTCTAGGTGTTTCCTCAGACAAAGAAGCCACCTCTAGGTTCCTTGTTTGGTCCCTAGTGGCAAGAAGAGGAGTTGCCCAACCCAGAAGACTCATGCCCTAAAATCTGATCTGATTGCCCTAGGGGATGCCAAGAGCCCTGACGAGTGTCACATTAGAAGCAATTGAAGAGCCTAGCAAAGCATACACAAAGCGTAGAAAGTAACCTTCCCAACCAGGGAGAAGCTTTCCAGTCTCTATCATCTCACACAAGCCGTTCAATCAGCCTTCCCTAGCTGAGAAATGAAAACTTCCTGAGAAATCCTCCGCCAATCAGCAGCTGTCAAATATGCAGATGAGACTTCTGGCTTGGATGCAAGGAAGACCAGGTGACAATCAAACTGTGACGTTGAGTAGGTTTGGTTGGGTGAAAGTTCCAAATTTGGAAGTCAATGTGGTAGGCTTTACATCCTACCATAGAATCTAGCTGGCTTCCTCAATTTAAAACAAATGTAACATGTAGTATTTGCTATTTGCTAGGCACATTAGGAATTATACAGGACTGGGGATGTAATAAGGGTGATTGAATACCTTTCTAGCATCGACAGTGTTCTGTGTTTTCTCCTCAGCACCACATAAAACAGGCATGTTGGCATAGTGACATATACCTATAATCCATGCATTCTAGGGGGTAGGGGAACAGGAGTGTAACAAGTTCAGAGTCAATCCCTGGCCGTGGTCCTGCACACGTTTAATCCCAGCACTCAGGAGACAGAGGCAGATGGATCTCTGTGAGTTTGAGGCCAGCCCTGGTCTACAGAGCAAATTCCAGGACAGCCAGGACTACCTAGCCTAGATAGTTTGAAGCCAGCTTGGGCTACCTGAGGTCCTGTCTCAGCAATCCCTCCCTGTCCCTAACACACACAAAAGAAAAATACAATTTAAATATTTTCAACCTTTTAGCAACCCTATCAGGTAGGTGTTGTTACAAGCCTCATTCACACAAGAAATTAGAGCCAAGATATTTGAACACCTCTGATATCACCTCCAATACCTCAGCTGATACGGCTCCATCAAAGCCAGTGCAGACTGGTCACAGAATGCATGCTTGTTACTACTTCTTACTTCTTTACAACTAGTTACTGCCTAACTTTTCAGAGGCCCCATTTGTTCACTTTGGGGATGGAATTTTAAAGATCAATACTCTAAACTTAATATGTTAAAAAAAATAGCAGCTATATAAAATATATAAAATTCTTAGCTCACATCATACTCAACAATGAAGGACTGGTGAGATGTGCTCTACAATCGTAAGAAGGTTCAGCGTCTGCTCTTAAGACTTTTCAACATTGTTCTTGAAAAGCTGAGTGGGGTAGAACATACCTATAATCCCAATACTCCAGCTTCATTGCAAATACATTACAAATCCAACACCAGTTTGAGCTATGTGAGAACCTGCTGTGGAATAATCAATCCCTTTGTACACTGTGTGAATATATGTCTCTGTGATTGGTTTAATAAAGAAACTGGCCTGTCGGTAGCTGAACAGAGTAAGGTTAGGGAGGAGATGTTAGCATTCAGGCATCTGTACTTGCCTGCCCTTGGAGTTCTGACAGGATACACCCCCTCAACTGCTGCTAAGAGCACCACCTGTGCACATTCACTATTCTCCCTTTTAAAAGGGCCCTGCCCACCTCCCCCTCTCTCTTTTTCTCTCTCTCTTTCTGCACCTCTCTTTCCTGTCTCCCACTGCTCCTCTCCCCAGAGTCTGGTCTCCCCCTTCCCTTTTCCCTTTTTTACAATCCCTTTCCTCTAATAAGAAAAATCCCTCCATGTGAACTCTGTCGCAGCCACTTTTTTAATTACAACAGGAGAGCCAGACTAGGAGAATTCTGGAAGAAGGGCAGAGTCTAGAGTCACCAGCCAGAAGTGAAGGGAGCAGGAGATGATTGTGCCATGTGGAAGACTGTAAATAAGAAATATGGGTTAACTTAAAATGTAAGAGCTAATTAGTAATAACCCTGAGCTATTGGCCTAGCATTTGTAAATAATATTAAGCCTCTGAGTGGTTATTTGAGAGCATTTGTGGGACAGAAACCCGTCTACAAGAACCTGTCTCAAAAAACAAAATCTTCATGCTTGATGTCCTAGTCAGTGTAGTCACACAAGAAAAAGAAACAAAAGTCATTTGAGTCAAAAGAAGTAAAATTATTTTTTTAAAATACTCTATGCATATCTGCAGATTGTAGAATTTATCAGAAGCTACTTGAAATATAAATATTTTAGAAAATGTGTCATATTTCCATCATTACTAAGAAAGAACCACAACCTTGTTAGTTTAAACAGAGATTTATTTTCTCATAGTTCTTGAGACCAGAAGTATGAGATTAAGGTATTAGCAGGGTTGGTTTCTTCGGAGGCCTCTCTCCTTGGATCTTCACATGATCTTCCTCTGTGTGTGCCAATGTTGTAATTTCTTCTCCTTCTAAGCACCCCTGTCATATTGCATTAGAACCCACCATACCTAGTTGTCATGTAAAAGATCAAATTTCCAATTATAATCTCATTCTGAGGCACTGGGGTTGGGATTTGACCATTTAATTCATTACCCCATAACAGCAAGGTTGAAAGACATAAGATGAATGAATATACTTTGCCAATTGTATACCTCTCAGAAATTTTAGAATGCTTAAATAATAATGCCTCTGTAGTAATGTCAAAGACTGTGAATGAACATGACAAAACATGTATAAGACCTTGAGGGGGGGCACAAAACACTGCTGAGAAGAAAATAAGACCTAAATAACTGTGTCAGTAGATTAGAGGACTCAATATTCTTGAGGCCAATTCTTCTCAAATGTATCTATAGATATAATGCAAGAATAATATCCCAATAGATTTTTGTTTTGTCTTTATTTCATAAGCATCTTCTAAGCAAGGGGTTTAGAAGACAAACAGCTTTGACAAAGAAGAAAATAGAGAAACTCACATCACCTGCTATCAAGAGTGACTAAAAAACTCAGAGATGGAGTGGTGGCTCAGGGGTTAGGAATGCTGGCTGCTCTTCCAGAGGACCCAGCTTCAATTCTCCATCCCACGTGGCAGCTCACAACCATCTGTAACTCCAGTCCCAAGATATCTGAAACTTCTTGTGGTGTCCACAGGCACTGATTGCATATGCAAACACACACACCATTAAAAGCACTCGTACACATAGAATAAAATGAAATAGATTTTTACATATAAAAACATAAGACTTCTATAAGAACACATAGGAGAGCTAGGATGCTGCTCAGTTGGTAAAGTGCTTGGCTAGCATGCACAAAGGCCTGGGTTCCAGCCCTAGCGCCATATCAACTAGATGTGGCAGCATGTGGCAGTGATTTCAGTATACTGGATATGGAGGAGCAGGGTTGAAAGTTCAAGGTCACACCCTACTACATAGAAAGATCAAGACCAGTCTCACACATGAGGCCTTATCTCAAAAAGAAAAACAAAATCTCTGAGACTTTGGGGTAAAGGAATCTCTCTCTTTCTCTCTCTTTCTCTCTCTCTCTCTCTCTCTCTCT